GGGGCTCCAGGGTGCGGGAGCCCGGGGCGCGCGGGAGGAGGGAGGGGCGCGCGCAGCACAGAGGAGGGGCTCCAGGGTGCGGGAGCCCGGGGCGCGCGGGAGGAGGGAGGGGCGCGCGCAGCACAGAGGAGGGGGCTCCAGGGTGCGGGAGCCCGGGGCGCGCGGGAGGAGGGAGGGGCGCGCGCAGCACAGAGGAGGGGCTCCAGGGTGCGGGAGCCCGGGGCGCGCGGGAGGAGGGAGGGGCGCGCGCAGCACAGAGGAGGGGGCTCCAGGGTGCGGGAGCCCGGGGCGCGCGGGAGGAGGGAGGGGCGCGCGCAGCACAGAGGAGGGGCTCCAGGGTGCGGGAGCCCGGGGCGCGCGGGAGGAGGGAGGGGCGCGCGCAGCACAGAGGAGGGGGCTCCAGGGTGCGGGAGCCCGGGGCGCGCAGGAGGAGGGAGGGGGCGCGAGGGTAGCGCTGAGACTTGCGGTTTAGAGACTGCGAGGACCCGGCTGCTGGGGAGGAATGAGCGGGGCGGGTAGGCCAGCGCGCACCGGGAGAGAGAAAGGGGCAGTGGGTTCACTGGGAGGAGCCTCTAAGGGCTACCTGTCTACGAAGGGCGGGGAGCCCCGCCCCCTTCCCGACTCCAGACCCACTGGCCAGAGGAGACATTCGCTGCAAACTAATTGGTCGTGTATTTTCAAGACCTCGCACCTTTGCGTTTGCCGGCAACCTCCGCTTAGTTTCTTTCAGAACCAGCTCAGGTGCCCTCAGCCCCGGACGCCATTCAGCCTCCACCAGACCAGAGCCATTGCGGTCTCTGGCCTAGTTTTGTGCACAACACTCAGCTAGAATTTCCCAGGTTCCGTTTGAATTCATGCGCGGGCCAGTGCTGGGCAGGAGGAGCCTCACTGAACATTGGGTGAGGCCATAAGTGCCAGAGTGGGCACTGACAGGTGGAAGGGAGCACCAGCTCTTGCCTGGGCTCACAAGCATCATCAGAGCCCTAGCTGATTAAGTCAAGAAATATTTACTGAGCACGCACAGTGTGCCTCGCACTGTGGATAGTGTGTGAACAAAGACAATCTCCATGCTTATTGCCCTGCTTATTCAGTGGAAGGCCATGAACAGAGGGAGGCCCAGTGTAAGCAGACCCTCCCCAGAGCTCTGGGAAACTCTGAAAAATAGCCCCCTCCCCCTTGGTGAGTGTGCCCTGAATTGGTGTGAAGTGGACTGTAAAAGACACCCCTTTGTTCCCTTCCTCTCCAAGCCTCACATTGTGGTTCCCTTATTGTGGCTCAATTGTCTTTGCAGCCAAGTCTTGGTAACTGTCAGGTCAATAATATTTCATTGAGACCATTGTTGGAAATGTGCAATTTGGAGCAGATGCTTTCTTCAGAAAGGGTTTGCCACACACACACACACACACACACAGTGTGGCAGCCACCCACAGACTGGGAGTAGAGGGACTTATGGGAATGCAAAATCGATGATTCTCTCCTCTGGGAAAGGTAGTTCTACCGTGATGAAGGCAAAGTAGATCGGTAACTGCGAATCACCTGAAGGTCTTGTTAAACTCTAGACTGAATCTGTAGGCCTGGGGTGGGACCTGAAAATCTGCATTTTCAGTAAGCCCCCGGGTGATACAGAGCTGCTGCTCCTGGGCCACCCTGGAGCAGGTATAGAAGATAGTTTATCCAGGTGCATTGGTTCAGGTAGGCCACAGATTGGCAGAAGGAGACAACTCACACCCCATTCCCTCCGTCCACCACTACCCCTGTTGGGGAAGAAGAAACTTTACCCTCAAGATACTTTCAGCTTGTCTAATAATTAATTAGACCTGAGACAGATTAACAAAAGAAAATGACCAAATTTAGTTACATACATATGTATGGGAACCGTGCACATGTGAGAAAGCCAGAGACCCCACATGCATGAGAGGTTCAAAGACAGAAAGGGCAAATGAGGCACGTATGACATTCTGAGCTAAGGATCACCTCCTCTTAGAGGAGATGTTCAGTAATTAGATGTTTTCCCTGCCCTAAGCATAGGTAAAAAAAATGTTATCTCTAATAACCTCTCATTATGGGCAAAGCCTCTAATTCAAATTCTTCTAGGTAGTTGGTGGTGTTAGTGGTGGGGAGAATCGCACCAGGTGTTAGACTGGTGAGGTCAGACCAGACCTCAGTTGAGCAACCCCGGGACTTGAGTTCTGGGTAGGAAAGAATTCAGAGTCATGACTCAAACTATAAGAGAACATTTATTTTAAAAATCATGGAGGTGGAAGATATGAGTGTCTGGAAGAAATGGGTTCAAGAAACAAGTTACAGAGCCAAAAGAAGGGCCCTTGGAGCTTGGAAGTGAGGAAGGTAATGCCTGGGGGAGTGTCGTTAGTCAGTGCATCTGGTCTTGAGGTCATCAGTGGCATGGCCTGGCTTGTCTGGTTTTGCTGCTTTTCTGGGCCTGGAGCTGAAATACAACTAAGGCCAAGATGTTATCTCTAGGGAGGAAAGGTCAGGGGGTCCAAACTGCATGACCAACATATGCTAGGGGAGGAATGGTCACCCTGGGGATGAGGTTCCCCCTACAGTTGTCCAATGCTAGGCACCTGGGGCTTTCCACCCTTGTGGCCCCTCATCCTTGCTCTACTCATGTCTGTCTGTCTACCACGGGGGCAGGGGGGCACAGAAGTTTCTCTTGAGCCCAAAAGGTCTTGGTTGTCTTTAGCTCAAAATAACCTGCATATTACAGAGGTACATCTTGGGGCAACTCATTCTGAATACCCCAACTTAGTGGCTTGAAACACACATTTATTCTTTTACAGTTTTTTAAGTCAGAAATTCAAAATGAGTCTTACAGGGCTAAAACCAAAGTGTTGGCAGGGCTGGTTCATCTGGAGTCTCTAGAGGAGAATCCATTTCCTTGCCTTTTCCTGCTTCTAGAGGCTGCCCACATTCCTTGGCTCATGGTCCTGAATCACATCACCTTTTCTCCCTCTACTTCCATCATCACATTTCCTTTGTCTGACCTTACCGTATTCCTCTTATAAATACCCTGTGATTACATTGTGCCTACCTGGATAGTCCAAATAATCTCCCCAAATAAAAATCCTTAATTTAATCATATCTGCATAGTCTTTGCCATAGAAGGTAACATATTTCATAGATTTCAGGTATTAGGACTTGGACAACTTTGGGAGCCATTATTCAACCCTACCACATTGTGTATTTCCTAAGAACAAGAACATTTTCTTACTCATATTTTGATTACCAAAACCAGGAAATTTCACCTTGATGCAGTTCTATTATATAATCTACAATTCACATTCAGTTTACCCAATTTTCCTAACAATGTCCTTTATAGAAATTTTTTTCTAGTCCAGATACAACCCAGGATCATATAGTTATTGTTATGCCTGTTTAGGCTCCTTTGATCCAGAATAGTTCCTCATCTTTTGTTTGCCTTTTATGGCCTTGACATTTTTAAGAGTTCACGTTAGTTGTAGACTGTCTCTCAGTTTGGCTTTGTTTGGTGTTTCCTCAGTCAGGTTTGAGTTCTGCATCTGGGGCAGGAATCCACCGAAATGTATGCTGTCCCACTTAGAAGTGTATTATGTAAGGAGACAAAAAATAGGATATTTATATTATTTAGTCGCAGCCCCTTCAAGCTGGTTCCTGTGTCCCCAACCATTTTATTTTTCAACATTTTCTTTCTGGGACAACAAAATGTTCCAGGCTAATGGGACTTTTCCTGCTTTGACCTTGGAATTAGCCATTTCTCCAAGGAGAAATTCCTAATTCCTTTTAGGTGGTGACAGCCATTTAAAGACAAGTTCTGTATGCTCAGTGTGGCTCATTGCTGCCAAGGTGGTTTTGCTTCTAGGCCTTTGCAGTGGGAAGAGCTATGAAATATGTTTTTTCTATATTCACATCTATGCATCTACCTATCTTTCCTTCCTTAACTGAAAAAATGCCTCCAGAAAATGTTAAGACTGGATCTAAGCCTTTATTAGTCATTTTATTATTAACTCTCTTGGAGTTAAAATATGTAAGCTTCAGGAATACGGAGTTGGTCAGGAATAGGCCAGATGCTAGACCATGTCATATCACAATTGTCCACTGTAAGAGCTAATATTTATTAAACACTTATGTGTGCCAGGCTTAGTGCTTTATATGCTTTTATGATCTTCAATCCTTATAATTATGAGGCATATACTTTGTTATTCTGTTTTACAGATGAGCAAACCAAGGCTCACAGAGACTGGTGACTTGCTGAAGACCACGGCACAGTGAATAAATGGCAGAAGCAGGACTAGAGCTTGGTCTGTGTGACCCTGGAGTCTGCGCTCCAGTACCACTGCTGCACTCCAGTACCACTCCTAACTGTGGTCTAACTTGGGCTATACTGCCTGCAGCTCTTGAAATCTGATTAATAGTGAATCCAGGGGCATCAACTCAACCTAAAGTAGTTTCTTGCTTGAAAAATAGAGAGTGGAATATTGTGTTAAGTGCTGGCAGAGCCCCTTACCAGCCATAGCTACAATGCCTGGCATTTCTTCCCTCTTCTCTTCCCAGGGCTTCTCAGTGGTCCCTTGTGAAATAAATAAGCCTGGCTTATTGATGTCATAGATGGCTGTTGTTTCTAACCTCACAATAGCACAGCTTTCTGGGTGCTCAGAGCCCCTGTGGGGACCCATGCCTGCTTAGTTATTTCCTCTCCACTCAAGGGTAGAAATATGTGGGTAAGTAGAGAGGCCTTAGCCACCCTTAACCACCAATCTACCAAGCTCTTGTCATGCCTGAACACCCCCAGGACCTATTGTCTGACCTAGGAGAGCTTTAGAAAAAAGTCCATTTGAATGTAAGAGCTATTGGCATGTATGTATTTATTGATTCTGTAGTTGAAAGGGGGCCACATGCTAACCTGAGAAGCTCAGGGGAGGCCTACGTAGTGGCCTTGCAAACTCAAAGACCTAAAGTAACCACAAAGAACGGTCTGAAATTAAAATTTTTTAAACTAAAAGCAGTTTATGGTGGGTAGTCATGTCCTAGGCTTGCACCTTCCCTGACAAAGGTCAATCTTTACCTTAACTGAGCCTGTCTATTATCTTTTTGCATCTATGATAACGTATCTTTGGAATGTCAAAGTAATTTTCCTTTTTCCGGACCCCTCAAAGCACAGGTACCTCTCTGCTGGGACCACAACTCCGCTCGTTGTTACTGAGTTAATTGTTGACTGTTAACTATCCTGCACCCACCTAGGGAAAAGATGTGTATGTCTGTCATTTTACTGTTCATCCAATCCCACAGGTGTCCCCACTTTGCTTTCTCTCACCTCTCTAATCTATCACGAATGGATTTCATGTAACCCGCTTCTGCTCTTTTGATTGTAATGTATAAAATCAGGTACAAAACTGCCATTCCCTGGAGCATTATCTCAATCCACTGAGATTTTGCTTCTTGGCAATTGTAGACAGTTTGGCTCAAATAAACTCACAAAAAATTCTCTATAGGTTTGAATGTTTCTTATGTTGACAATTCTTTGGGGAAGGACGGGATCCAGAAACATTTCATATTTACCCTGAAATGAATCCTAATTGGTTAGAATGTGTCAATTTTAAAAATCAAATTAGAGTTGTAAAATAGTGTGCCTCTCTTGATGTGTCCCAAGCCCACAGGATGGAAACTGAATACCTGAAGAGGTGCCTTGGAAATTGCCTTGCTCAGGCACTGGCAGAGGTGGTGAAGGTTCGGCCCAGCGACCCCACAGAGTACCTGGCTCACTGGCTTCATCATTACAGGAAAGTCACTCAAGCAAAAGAAGAGGTGTGTATGTGCCCTGGGTCAGCTTGGGGAGGGCTCTGCAGCTTTCTCAGGGTAATCTCAAATCCAAGGCAGAATTCTGGAGCTGGCCTCAGGAGGTTTTTCGGTTTATTCAGCTTGTGAGGGTGGCTTAGGCCCAGATGTCCTAGAAGCACAGGGAGTCTGGGGGGCTGAAGAAGGACTCCGACTTCTAGAAGTGATGGAGTTGGTGGCTTTGGAGCTATTAGCAGGCTAACGCTCATTCCAGGAGCACACTCTGGAGGCCTGAGGGCCTGAGGCCAATCCCAGGGAGAGGGGGCCCTTCCTCCAGGCTTCCCCGGGCTGACCTGATCTACCTCTGTCACCTTACCCCAGGGTCAGCAGGAGAAGACCCAGCTGAAGGAGGAGTACGGCAATAGCCTGAAGGAAGCCCACATGACAGAAATGCTGAAGCAGGAGGAGTGTCACATTCAACAGGAGCATGAGAAGTGTCAGCAGGTGGGGAGGAGGAACCCCGCTCTGGGCACACATCCCCGGGCAGCCGCGGGGCGAAGCACGTGGAGGCTCCCCTTAGCCCACGGTGCCCTCTGTGGGTATATGTTTATGTGTAAACCAACCTTACAGTCTTTATCAAAGAGATCATTAGCAATGACAAAAGAAAATGTTTAAAGGCAATTTCATTTTAGATTTCAGGAACTACATTAGATGTTACTGGTTTAAAAAAAATCAGATTTAAAAAAAATCTAATGTCACGAAACAAATATATATATATATATATTTTAAATATATCTTTATTAACTTCAGAGAGAGGAAAGGAGAGGGAGAGAGAGAGATAGAAACATCAATGATGAGAGAGGCATTGATCGAGCCCGCAACCTGGTCATGTGCCCTGAGCGGGAATCGAACCCTGATCGCCTGGATCCCAGGTCGACGCTCAACTGCTGAGCCACACCTGGCAGGGCAGCAAATATATTTTTATACAAGATCCTTTGAGCCCTTTTCAAAAAGTATTCAATATTTCTCAGAAACCAAAGATGGTTATTATTATATACTGAAGGTATAATATTTTACTTATTCTATACTATTTACTTAAATATCTTGTTTATTGTGTGCTATTTATTTATGTATCAAGCCACAGATGCCACCTCTTTGGTGCTGTAATAATGGTCATAAATTAATAACTTGGAATAGTTAGAAATAACTAAGTATTCATTCATCTGACAAGCATATCTTGCATCTCCATAATTTTTCCCACAATTTTCTGAAAAATATGTCATTCTGTGTTTTCTACAGAGTACATGATACCCAGATAGGAAATTGACTTATTGGGCTTGATATCTGACATCTTCATAACTCTCACTGCATCCGGTGCCCTTTAATGCAGTCTTATACAATTAACTAGCTTTTGCTGGTTTCCAAAGTCCACTTTGATGAAAACATGAAAGTATTAAGCTTACTTACATTTATACAAATATGGCTAGCTTTCCTCATAAACAATTAATAGGTTTTTAAAAAGTCTGGGTGTTTCATAAATGAATCAAAACAAAGATGGTTTTATATTATTGTTAAACAGTAGTCTCAGTGAGCCCTTCCACCAGAATAGTCTTAGACCAGTTGTTGGGAGATGTTAAAGGTGAGATTATGAGGCAAAAGTTTTCACCGCTTTGCTGCTCACTCAAATCCTTGTCTAACTACAGGCTTCATTGTTCATAGAAAGACTCTCCAAACCCACCCCAGTTTTATAGTGTCTTTATTGAAAAAAAACTTTGCTCACATCAGTATTTTGAATTGTCCGTTTGTGCTGCACTCGAAGGGTTTTACGCCCTGTAATAACATTCCTCAGCAAGATTTAGATGAGTCCAAGTGTGAGACAAAGGCAATTGCAAGGGAAGATGGGAAATGAGAGCCAGCATGATGCCTGGACTATGAGCAAGTTTTCAGTTTTAGGAAAGAGTTCATATGCAAGTTGTAGTTATGGAAATTGATTCCCTCTGTTAGAAGGAAATAAAGAGAACCCAATGGTCATCTAAAACAAAGCTGAATTTATTGCTTACCTGGCCAGGGAGAGCCAGGCCATTCAAGTGCGGGTTACTCTGCTAGTATAAATTGAAAGAGCTAGGTAAAGGGCAAAGAGGTGGGGACCCATCAAGTAAGACAAGATTCTAAGTTCTGGTTTCTTGGTGACTAGAGCTGAGTTGCAAACTATTCCTTGCTATTGATCGCTTTCAGATTTTGTGTTGTAAAACCTGCTCTTAAACAGGCCCGGGATGGATTGCATAAGATTTCAGCATGCTAGCTGATTTAGCTGATTGGCCATCCGCACATACTCAAAGCTTTGCAAGATTTTCCTTAACACCTTGCTGACCAGCTCTTTTAAGCCAGAACTCACCCATGTGGCTGGCTACTTTGGTCAGCAAGCAAGGTGTTTAAAATTACTTAAATTAATGTAAGTGCAGACACAAGTTATCTCGTGACGGGTCAGCAACGTTCGGACATAGAAACACATGTATACTCTTGACTGGTCAGCAATGTATGTTAATATCTTAAAACCATCATTGCTTGCGTATACCTTAGAAAGCCCTTGAGTACCCCAGATTGACTACTACTGGTCCAGTGGATATGTTAAAAGAGGAATAGAAACAGATGGAGCACTATGTGTGGCAGAGATCATATCCCATTATAGCAATCAAGAAGAGATTCACAGAGGAGGTGGCATTTGAGTCAGACCTAGAAGAGAGCTGGCAAAAGTTGCCCTTGTGTTGGTTTCTCTTCATTAAGCAAAAGCAGCTTTGCGTGAGTAAACCATAATTCTATTTCTAAGTCTGAAAGCAATCGTTTTGTTAATAAAGATATGAGCCATACAGATGTTTTTGAAATACATTTTTATAAATCAATACACATACGTGCCGCATAGACTCATAGCACTTTGAAGTTAGAAGGGTCTTAGAGATCATGTGGGTAAGTACTTCACGGACCTCTCTGCACTGTTCCACAGGGTCCGTTGCAGAATGGACCTCTGGGCAATAGAGAGCTGGAGGTGGCCAGTAGGGTTAAGCTCCAAGGATTCCTTCCTCAGCCAGGGACTGAAATTACATGGATATTAGACTGTTTGTTATTGTCTCATAGGCCAGTGAGACTGTTCATTTTTTTCAATCATTTTCCTTCTGTGCGTCAGTTTGGATGATTTCTTCTGCGATGTCCAACATCCTATTTAGGGATTCAGTAAATCTTTTCATTTTGGATATTGTATTTTTCAATTCTAGGATTTCTACCTGGTTCCTCTCTATAATTTCCATTTTCTCTGATGATATATCCTTTATCTTTTCACTCACTAAGTTTATTTTTCCCCTTTAAATTTTTGAAAATATTTGTAATAGCTGTTTTAAGTCCTTATTGGCTAATTTCTCATCTTTATTATCTCGGGGTCTGTTTATTGAATTCTTTTTCTCTGTATTGCAGTCCACATTGTCTTACTTTTTCCCATGTGTAATAATTATTATTTGTATGCTGGACATTGTAGGTGATACTTTGTGGGAGTCTAGGTTGTGTTTCCTTTTAAAAGGGGTTAATTTTGTTCTGGCAGGCAGTTAAATTATTGCTGAATTATCTTGAGCCTATCAGATTTTTGTTTTATGCTTTGCTAGAGCAATCTGTTTCCATTTTGTTCTTAGTGACTTTTTGCTTTTTTGTTTTCTGTTTAGCCACTGGCATCTGTAGCTAGTTCCACAAAGGAGACCATATTCATGCAGGAGAACACAGAGCCCCATGAAAAGGAGGTCTTGAAGCAGGAATGCGTGCCAGGTGCTTCCAGTACGATTCCGGGAAGGGTGCCTCAACAGGTTCCTCCTCCTGACCCATCTGGCGAGACTGACTGGAATGCCGAAATTCCACAAGAGATAAATTACTAGGCTTTTCAGCTTGACGTACTTCCAAAACACATCTTGGCTCCAAATCTCCTTCTTAGGTTATCAGAAGGTAGATAATCCTAATGATGCTTCCCTCAAAGCTGCAAGCCGAGAAAATAGCCATCTGGAAGAGCTCTTACCTAACAATGATACTATGTGGATTAGACCAATATTTGAGGGGCTGTGGGAGGAGGTGTCTGCAGGGACTGCCAGGCCAGCTCCTATTGTGATAGCCACGAAAATTCCTTAATCATGTGAAAATTTGAACTAGTTATGGGATAAAATAATCTCATAATAAGGATTTAAAGTAAGTAACTGAACTGATGAGATGTTTGCCTCTCGTGTGATCATTTGTTTGGAGATGAGTGAAAACACAGCTGTCTCATGTGTTCATGTGTTCACTTTACTAAACTTTGCCCTCAGGCCCCACAGAGTGTTACACATGTCCTGGAGTGTACCTGTGTCACTAACAACACGTGCTTTAAAACAGTTGCAGTGTCAATAAAACTCAAAGGTTTGAACACTTTAAAAATTATTTTATATCTATACTCATTCGAATATTATGTATATGCTGATGACTTCAGATTTATATCTTTAATCAAGATTTTCTTGAACTTGACTGCCTGCTTGACATCTACTTAGATGACCAATGGGCATCTCAGAACTTATCCAAATGGAATCCCTGATATTCCCCCTGAATCCATATGTCTTCCTTCTTCTATTTGCTCAGGTCAAAACTCTTGGCTCCATTTTTCACTCTGCTCTTTTTTTGGTCACCCTACCTTTGGCCTGTTGGCTTTCCATTTAAAATAAAACCAGAACTCACCCACTTGAACACCCGAGCCACAATTATCTTTTGCCTAGATTATTACTATAGCCTGTTAGCTGGTCTCCCTTCTCCTGCCCTTGACCTTCTCTGGTCTGTCCCCATCACTGAAGCCAGGGTGATCTTAGTAAAACATAAGTGAGACCCTGTCTAACGAGTGGCTCCGTGCCTCAGCCACAGAAGCATTCAGGCCCTTCCTATGCCCCGCCAGGCTCTAAGATCTGCCTCCCGCGTCTTCACTCTCGTTCTGCTCTGCCCGCCTCAGGGGCCCTGTTCCCACCCGGCCCCACCTCAGAATCTGCCTTCTTCTTGCTTTCTCTTGTCTCTGCCCTGAATTCTCCAGTCCACCCGCACCCCGCCATGTCTGCAGGTCCTCTTTCCTTCAGGTCTTTCTAAAAAGTCGCCTTTTCTTATTTATTTCTGTATTTATGTGTTATTTATGAAACACCATACTGCAGCATGTAGGCTCTAACGGCAGTTTCATGCAGTAAAATTACATGCGTCTCTCCAGTGTGCCATATTTTTATAAATTGGAAAGATTTTCCTCAGCCACTACATAAAAGGAAGCGTGGTCTTGGTAGTTCTGAAGTAAATTTCTAAGGCCAAGAAAGGGGCTCTTCTCAAAACCTTAGCAGGATTTGTGCATTCACCCTGGGGAAATGGCCTTTTTCCTTTATCAGAGGTGCCTTTTCAATGAGGCCTTTCCTGGAGATCATACATATATAACACATCCTATCTGTGCTTCATAAATACAGATGTCTGTAAATAGATATAGATAGATAGATATCCTATCTATACTTCCTATATACTATATACATCTTATCTGAACTTCCTATATATACATATACATCCTGTTTGGATTTCCACATACATTTAATATCCTCTTCCCTGTCGGTCTCCTTCAGTAGAACATGAGCTCCATGAAGACAGGGATTTTATCTGTTTATTTTTGTATCCCCAGCACCTACAACAGTGCCAGCACACAAGAGGTGCCCAATAAATATCTGTCACATAAGTGAATAAATGAGTTGAACTTATCCAAGGGGTGGAGACTCACACCAAAAGTGAAAATGGCAAGCTAGCCATTTTTGATGGGCACAAGAATTAGCTTGCAATTCCAGACCCCCGAGCCCTTCCTCTAGCCTAGGGTTGGCTACATAGTATGTGAGGCTCAGTGCAAAATGAACCTGGAGTCCAAATATATAAAGAAGCCTGGCCAGCATGGCTCAGTGGTTGAGCCTCGACATATAATCCAGGAGATTGTGGTTCGATTCCCAGTCAGAGCACATGCCTGGGTTGCGGGTTCGATCCCCAGTAGGGGGCGTGCAGGAGGCAGCCGATCAATGACTCTCTCATCGATGTTTCTATCTCTCTCTCCCTCTCTCTTCGTCTCTCTGAAATCAATAAAGACATATTTTCAAAAAAACCCCAAATATATAAAGAACTCATACAATTCAACAACAATACAACAAAAAGTAATCCAATTAAAAAATGGGCAGAGGATCTGAATAGACACTTTTCCCAAGAAGACATTCAAATGGCCAACAGATATATGAAAAGATGCTCAACTTCACTAGCTATTAGGAAAATGCAAATAAAAACTACAATGAGATACCATCTCACACCCATTAGAGTTGCTATTATCAACAAGACAAGAAATAAGTGTTGGAGAGGTTGTGAAGGAACCCTCATAAACTGCTGGTGGGAATGTAAACTGGTACAGACTATGAAAAACAGTATGGAAGCTCCTCAAAATATTAAAAAGAGAGCTACCTTATGACCCAGCAATCCCTCTTCTGGGTATATACCTGAAAAATTTGAAAACATTTATTTGTAAAGATATATGTACCCCTATGTTCACTGCAGCATTATTTACGGGGGCCAAGACATGGAAACAATCTAAGTGACCTTTGATGGGTGACTGGATAAAGAAGATGCGCTACATGTATACTATGGAACACTACGCAGCCATAAAAAAGATGAAATACTGCCATTTGTGACAACATGGATGGATCTTAAGAGTATCATGCTAAGCGAAATAAGTCAGACAGAAAAGGACAGGAACCACATGATTTCACTCACATGTAGGATATAAAACAGGCAGCAACAAACTAACAAAGCAAAACAAAAACACCTAATCACACAGATGAAAGTATGGTGATTCTAGAGGGCCAGGGGCATTGGGGGAGGTAAAAGAGTGTAAAGGGGGGTCAAGCATATGATGAGGGAAGGAGACTTGCCTTTGGGTGGTGAACGCACAATGCCATATACAGAAGCGTTCAAGGTGAACAGGACGGGCTTCCAGGCTGGTGTGACCATGGCTTGAGAGAGCTAGGAAAGGAGACTAGCCTGGGGTCTGTGTTGTTCGGGAGTGAGCCCAGGTAGAAGTTCCCATGCGCAGGAGGTGGCTTGCATGGTTGGGACACCTGAGCTTATAGCCTTGCCCAGACGTGGGGCAT